CTGGAGAATCATCAAAGAAAACAGGATTTTATAGTTTTATAGCTAATCCCATGATGTTATCACGTTCCAACCACTAGTACAGTGCAGTCGTATTACAGTGTACAGTAAGTGAACAAGAACACTCCAAGGCTGCATGCATCTGGCAACTGAAATGACCCCAGTACAATTAAACAAGGAGAGAGGACGGTTGCTGGGTGACGCTAAATCCAAATTGCCAAAGTAGAAAAAATTATTTGTTGCTTTCCTGGAAAATCCTTAAATAGAGCAAGAGCTAAGATATATTCAGTCAGATTAAACAATCAACAAACAAACAACAACAGTAAACACCTGCCACATTTCATTTGCCAGAAAGGAGAATTATCCACATTCTACATTATCCACATGTTGCTGTAGCCTATCTGGTTGCTATGCTGAAGTTAGCATTCAAAATGTAGAGACCTAAGTAACTAGTAGCAATAACCTTAAGAATGTACACTGAATCTAGTGATCCTAGGAGGTATATACATTTATGAATTCATTGCATTACATGAACAGTGTTACAGGGCCTCATGGAAAGCAGGATTATCTGAGCTGTCATCAGTTACTGCCACTGTACTTCTTTTGTTCATTCTAGCCTCTGTAGGTCCAGATGTCACACACATCATTTCCTCTTATGATCGCAACGTGCTATTGTCAGCACTAAATTGCTTTTACTTTGGTGTAGTGAGTACCACTTTAATTTATAAAGTTAGCTTTTTTATGTAAATAGAGGCAAGATTATCTAATTTCTATACATCCTCCACATCTATTTTCCCCCAAAGATGACTGACTGTCAAAAGATCCGGATGATACAGCAGATTTTTCCACCAGTCACAGCTCCAATTTAGACATTGATTTCCAGTTCTAATTCATATAAAGAATAAGAAATTCCAACCTGGCTAATTAGAGAGATACGGTGGATGAGGTAAATATCTTTTATTGGACAACTTCTGTGGGTGAGAGAGACAAGCTTTCAAGCTTACATAGAGCTCTTCTTCAGGTCTGGGAAACATATTCAGGCCTGGTCGACACTAAAAAATTAAGTTGGCTTAATTACATCACGCAGGGCCCTGGTCTACACTAGGAGTTGAGGTCGAATTTAGCAGCGTTAAATCGATTTAACCTTGCACCCATCCACACGACGAAGCCCTTTTTTTGACTTAAAGGGCTCTTAAAATCAATTTCCTTACTCCATCCCCGACAAGGGGATAAGCGCTGAAATTGGCCTTGCCGGGTCGAATTTGGGGTACTGTGGACGCAATTAGACAGTATTGGCCTCCGGGAGCTATCCCAGAGTGCTCCATTGTGACCGCTCTGGACAGCACTCTCAACTCAGATGCACTGGCCAGGTAGACAGGAAAAGGCCTGCGAACTTTTGAATTTCAATTTCCTGTTTGGTCAGCGTGGCAAGCTGCAGGTGAGTGCAGAGCACATCAGCAGAGGTGACCATGCAGAGCTCATCAGCAGAGGTGACCATGATGGAGTCCCAGAATCGCAAAAGAGCTCCAGCATGGACCGAACGGGAGGTATGGGATCTGATTGCTGTATGGGGAGAGAAATCTGTGCTATCAGAACTCCGTTCCAGTTTTTGAAACGCCAAAACATTTGTCAAAATCTCCCAGGGCATGAAGGACAGAGGCCATAACAGGGACCCGAAGCAGTGCCACGTGAAACTTAAGGAGCTGAGGCAAGCCTACCAGAAAACCAGAGAGGCAAACGGCCGCTCCGGGTCAGAGCCCAAAACATGCCACTTCTATGATGAGCTGCATGCCATTTTAGGGGGTTTAGCCACCGCTACCCCAGCCGTGTTGTTTGACTCCTTCAGTGGAGATGAAGGCAACACGGAAACAGGTTTTGGGGACGAGGAAGATGATGATGATGAAGTTGTAGATAGCTCACAGCAAACAAGTGGAGAAACCGGTTTTCCCGACAGCCAGGAACTGTTTCTCACCGTGGTCCTGGAGCCAGTTCCCCCCGAACCCACCCAAGGCTGCCTCCCGGACCAGGCAGAGAAGGGACCTCTGGTGAGTGTACCTTTTAAAATAGTATACACGGTTTAAAAGCAAGCATGTTTAATGATGAATTTGCCGTGGCATTTGCGGCTCTCCTGGATGTACTCCCAAAGCCTTATTCCGTTCACCATGGAAGGGCACTTTAACATGTCAGGCCAGTAGCACATAGTCAGGAATCACTGTAGAACAAGGCATTGCAGTGTATGTTTGCTGGCGTTCAAACAACATCCGTTCTTTATCTCTCTGTGTTATCCTCAGGAGAGTGATATCATTCATGGTCACCTGGTTGAAATAGGGTGCTTTTCTTAAGGGGACATTCAGAGGTGTCCGTTCCTGCTGGGCTGTTTGCCTGTGGCTGAACAGAAATGTTCCCCACTGTTAGCCACGGGGAAGGGGGAGGGGCTAGCCACGTGGTGAGGGGAGGCAAAATGTGAATAGAACTCTGACAGAGGAGTTCAGCCCTAACCTCTGACTGGCAGAACACTGGGGATCCTGATTCGTTCTCAGCTTATATTTAAACCAAGCAGAGGACCAGGAAGTTGTCTATATAACTGTTTCCCTGTATGTTGGACTGCTTCACTTGCACTACCTGCTCCTACTGCCTGACCCTGCTCTCTGGGTAACCTGGTCTTGCCTAACTGCCACCTGACTTCTGGTTTGCCCTCTGGCCTGTCTCAGACTCTGACCTCCTGGTATTTGACTCTGCCTGGCTTCTGCTCTGACCAGTAGATCAAATGGCCTATGGCCTGGTCCTGACAGGAACCAAACATTGTGCTAGCACATGAGAATGAGTAAGTAAAACTGACTTGTCTGTCTTAATTCTGAAATAAAATTAAATGCAAAAAAAAAAAAAAAAAAACAACCAGCAGTGTACAGAGTAAAAAGTACATTAGACTTTTAAAATTTTAAAATTTGACTTGAATAATCTCAGGTGTTAATGACAAGAGACAAGAAATGTTAAGAAAACTATTTAATTTTAAAGACCCTTTAACATTGGCTATGAGCCTTAATGAAATATTTCATAACATACATTATCACACTTATAGTGAAATCTAACTTTGATAAAACATGTATCACTCACTTATACAATTGTGAAAGCACCTCCCAGTATATCTGTGTCTACGATAAAGAACTAAATTGTTTCCAATGAAGCCTGTTAAAATGTACCAGTTTAAGCACAAATAGTTCGTTGCATCAACATTAGCCATACTGAATAAGTTTAGTAAGCCTTGCAGTTTTGCCATGCTTCCACATAAGTGCTGTTCTAAACCACTTTCAGTGCTGTCTGGGTACCTATCCCGCAGTTCATGTTACAACTCCCAGAAGCAGTGGTATGTAGGGGATTTCAAAAGGCCTGGTGCCCAAGTCAACTGTGGGAACAGAGGACAAACTCCCACAATCCCATAGAAAAATTCCTTTATTGCCTGTGCCATTTTCTGACCGTGGAGGTCAGGAGGAATGCTCATGTAAGGGGACTCTTGTCCCCTTACTGACATTCAGTGGGGGTGTTTTGGTTGGCTAGCTCCCAGTACTAAAAGGGGGAAAGGTCGATGGCAAATCAGGACCCTGAGACTGACAGTCCCCAGGATCAATGGGAAGAGGCCAATGCTCCAGGTCAGCCTGATTAAGAGGGTGGGCAGGCTAATCAGGGAGTTCAGGAGGCCAGGGTGGGTCTCATCCTCCATGTGAGCTGGAATTGCCAGGGTCAGACAGAGTGGGGCCAAGCTAAGGAGAAAGCAGGGGCCCAAGCTGAGCTGAGGAGCAGAGCCGTGCCAGATCCAGAGGGGCCAGAAAAGGAGCCCAGGAAGCAGGTCACTGCTGGGAGCAGAGTCACAGAAGCAGCCCACAGAGCAGACCTGTGCTGCGGGGAGAGCTGGAGCAACCAGAGCCAGGGGAACCAGACACACAGCCCAGGGAGAGTAGACCCTGTCCTGGGAAGCGGGGCTGCAACCACCAAGCCAGAGGGGCCAGAGAAGCAGCCCAGGGGGCTGGAGGCAGAGCAGCAGCCTCAGTGCTGAGACAGAGTGGAGCTGGGGCTGGAGCTGGAGCAGTCTGGAGCAGGGTGTGGTGAGCAACAGGGGCCAGCCAAGGGGGGGCCCTGGGCAAAGGGCCCAGTGCAGAAAGATACCACCAGCCAAGGGTCCTTGCAGGACAAACTGGGAGGGGGATCTTAACCCAATGGGGGGCTGACGCTGGGAAGAAGGCCACCACCCAAAGCCTGGAAGTGTGTGGCCACCACCAGAGCAAGTGTCCAACCCACAGCATCCCTGCAGCACAGCCAGGGCCTGAGAAGAAAGCCTGAGACCTACAAGGAACAGACTGTGAACTGCCCTGACATTCCAGAGACACTGTTTGTAATGTTCCCTGCCACAGAGCGGGGTATTGTGTTTTCCTTTAACCTTTCCCATTTTTCCTTATTCCTTTTTAAATTAATTGCTGATTAAATAAATTGAATTTGTTTCAATTGTATGTAATGATCAGGGAAGTGGGTCAGGGAAGTGTCCAGTGCAGAGAGAGTACCCTGGAGTGGGGACACCCTAGTCTCTGTCCTAGGTGACCACAGCCAAGTTTGGGGGTTAAGCCCCCCAGGAATCTTGGGCCCAGCCTTGTTGGGGTTACAAGGACTCTGCCAGACAGGAGAGTGGAAGGGGAGTTCTCGAGGGCAGGGAAGCCTCTGGGTAAAGGAAGTGGGAGCGAGGACTCAGATCCTGCCGCTAGCCCATTTCACCGGGATAGTGCAGAAGCCAGGAAAGTTCCCCACAATAGCGGGACCATTCCCTGCTTACACTCAGCAAGAAAGATTTCTGTTGGATAAGGGTAAAATATATGTTGGAATTTTTGAGAAGCCACTACAAGGAGTCTGAGGTAGTATCCTTAGAGAGCCAGGGACTGAGACCAGGAACTCACCAAGCAGTTAAGCAGACATAGTTACCAAGAAAGGAGATGACTCTACTGTACTTGTGCAGAAGTTTTACTTGGCCCTGGTCTACACTAGGACTTTAGGTCGAATTTAGCAGCGTTAAATCGATGTAAACCTGCACCCGTCCACACAATGAAGCCCTTTATTTCGACTTAAAGGGCTCTTAAAATCGATTTCCTTACTCCACCTCTGACAAGTGGATTAGCGCTTAAATCGACGTTGCCGGCTCAAATTTGGGGTACTGTGGACACAATTCGATGGTATTGGCCTCCGGGAGCTATCCCAGAGTGCTCCATTGTGACCGCTCTGGACAGCACTCTCAACTCAGATGCACTGGCCAGGTAGACAGGAAAAAAACTGCGAACTTTTGAATCTCATTTCCTGTTTGGCCAGCGTGGCAAGCTGCAGGTGACCATGCAGAGCTCATCAGCACAGGTGACCATGATGGAGTCCCAGAATCGCAAAAGAGCTCCAGCATGGACCGAACGGGAGGTACGGGATCTGATCGCTGTTTGGGGAGAGGAATCCGTGCTATCAGAACTCCGTTCCAATTTTCGAAATGCCAAAACCTTTGTGAAAATCTCCCAGGGCATGAAGGACAGAGGCCATAACAGGGACCCGAAGCAGTGCCGCGTGAAACTGAAGGAGCTGAGGCAAGCCTACCAGAAAACCAGAGAGGCGAACAGCCGCTCTGGGTCAGAGCCCCAAACATGCCGCTTCTATGATGAGCTGCATGCCATTTTAGGGGGTTCAGCCACCACTACCCCAGCCGTGTTGTTTGACTCCTTCAATGGAGATGGAGGCAATACGGAAGCAGGTTTTGGGGACGAAGAAGATGATGATGAGGAGGAGGTTGTAGATAGCTCACAGCAAGCAAGCGGAGAAACCGGTTTTCCCGACAGCCAGGAACTGTTTCTCGCCCTAAACCTGGAGCCAGTACCCCCCGAACCCACCCAAGGCTGCCTCCTGGACCCAGCAGGCGGAGAAGGGACCTCTGGTGAGTGTACCTTTTAAAATACTATACATGGTTTAAAAGCAAGCATGTGAAAGGATTACTTTGCCCTGGCATTTGCGGTTCTCCTAGATGTAGTCCTAAAGCCTTTGCAAAAGGTTTCTGGGGAGGGCAGCCTTATTGCGTCCTTCATGGTAGGACACTTTACCACTCCAGGCCAGTAACACGTACTCGGGAATCATTGTAGAACAAAGCATTGCAGTGTATGTTTGCTGGCATTCAAACAACATCCGTTCTTTATCTCTCTGTGTTATCCTCAGGAGAGTGAGATATAATTCATGGTCACCTGGTTGAAATAGAGTGCTTTTCTTCAGGGGACACTCAGAGGAGCCCATTCCTGCTGGGCTGTTTGCCTGTGGCTAAACAGAAATGTTCCCCGCTGTTAGCCACAGGGAGGGGGGGAGGGTTGAGGGGGTAGTCACGCGGTGGGAGGAGGCAAAATGCGACCTTGTAACGAAAGCACATGTGCTATGTATGTAATGTTAACAGCAAGGTTTACCCTGAAAGAGTGTAGCCACTGTTTTATAAAATGTGTCTTTTTAAATACCGCTGTCCCTTTTTTTTTCTCCACCAGCTGCATGTGTTTCAATGATCACAGGATCTTCTCCTTCCCAGAGGCTAGTGAAGCTTAGAAAGAAAAAAAAAACGCACTCGCGATGAAATGTTCTCCGAGCTCATGCTGTCCTCCCACACTCACAGAGCACAGACGAATGCGTGGAGGCAAATAATGTCAGAGTGCAGGAAAGCACAAAATGACCGGGAGGAGAGGTGGCGGGCTGAAGAGAGTAAGTGGCGGGCTGAAGACAGGGCTGAAGCTCAAATGTGGCGGCAGCGTGATGAGAGGAGGCAGGATTCAATGCTGAGGCTGCTGCAGGACCAAACCAGTATGCTCCAGTGTATGGTTGAGCTGCAGCAAAGGCAGCTGGAGCACAGACTGCCACTGCAGCCCCTCTGTAACCAACCGCCCTCCTCCCCAAGTTCCATAGCCTCCACACCCAGACGCCCAAGAACGTGGTGGGGGGGCCTCCGGCCAACCAGCCACTCCACCACAGAGGATTGCCCAAAAAAAAGAAGGCTGTCATTCAATAAATTTTAAAGTTGTAAACTTTTAAAGTGCTGTGCTTAAAGTGCTGTGTGGCATTTTCCTTCCCTCCTCCACCACCCCTCCTGGGCTACCTTGGTAGTCATCCCCCTATTTGTGTGATGAATGAATAAAGAATGCATGAATGTGAAGCAACAATGACTTTATTGCCTCTGCAAGCGGTGATTGAAGGGAGGAGGGGCGGGTGGTTAGCTTACAGGGAAGTAGAGTGAACCAAGGGGCAGCGGGTTTCATCAAGGAGAAACAAACAGAACTTTCACACCGTAGCCTGGCCAGTCATGAAACTGGTTTTCAAAGCTTCTCTGATGCGTACCGCGCCCTCCTGTGCTCTTCTAACCGCCCTGGTGTCTGGCTGCGCGTAACCAGCAGCCAGGCGATTTGCCTCAACCTGCCACCCCGCCATAAACGTCTCCCCCTTACTCTCACAGATATTGTGGAGCACACAGCAAGCAGTAATAACAGTGGGAATATTGGTTTTGCTGAGGTCTAAGCGAGTCAGTAAACTGCGCCAGCGCGCCTTTAAACGTCCAAATGCACATTCTACCACCATTCTGCACTTGCTCAGCCTGTAGTTGAACAGCTCCTGACTACTGTCCAGGCTGCCTGTGTACGGCTTCATGAGCCATGGCATTAAGGGGTAGGCTGGGTCCCCAAGGATACATATAGGCATTTCAACATCCCCAACAGTTATTTTCTGGTCTGGGAATAAAGTCCCTTCCTGCAGCTTTTGAAACAGACCAGAGTTCCTGAAGATGCGAGCATCATGCACCTTTCCCGGCCATCCCACGTTGATGTTGGTGAAACGTCCCTTGTGATCCACCAGAGCTTGCAGCACTATCGAAAAGTACCCCTTGCGGTTTATGTACTCGGCGGCTTGGTGCTCCGGTGCCAAGATAGGGATATGGGTTCCGTCTATAGCCCCACCACAGTTAGGGAATCCCATTGCAGCAAAGCCATCCACTATGACCTGCACATTTCCCAGGGTCACTACCCTTGATATCAGCAGATCTTTGATTGCGTGGGCTACTTGCATCACAGCAGCCCCCACAGTAGATTTGCCCACTCCAAATTGATTCCCAACTGACCGGTAGCTGTCTGGCGTTGCAAGCTTCCACAGGGCTATTGCCACTCGCTTCTCAACTGTGAGGGCTGCTCTCATCTTGGTATTCATGCGCTTCAGGGCAGGGGAAAGCAAGTCACAAAGTTCCATGAAAGTGCCCTTACGCATGCGAAAGTTTCGCAGCCACTGGGAATCGTCCCAGACCTGCAACACTATGCGGTCCCACCAGTCTGTGCTTGTTTCCCGAGCCCAGAATTGGCGTTCCACAGCATGAACCTGCCCCATTAGCACCATGATGCATGCATTGGCAGGGCCCATGCTTTCAGAGAATTCTGTGTCCATGTCCTGATCACTCACGTGACCGCGCTGACGTCGCCTCCTCGCCCAGTATCGCTTTGCCAGGTTCTGGTGCTGCATATACTGCTGGATAATGCGTGTGGTGTTTAATGTGCTCCTAATTGCCAAAGTGAGCTGAGCGGCCTCCATGCTTGCCTTGGTATGGCGTCCGCACAGAAAAAAGGCGCGGAATGATTGTCTGCCGTTGCTCTGACGGAGGGAGGGGCAACTGATGACACGGCTTACAGGGTTGGCTTCAGGGAGCTAAAATCAACAAAGGGGGTGCCTGTACATCAAGGAGTTTTTCAGGCAGGACTTCACGGAGGGTTCCAATAAGAAATGGTGCACCTAAGTTATTGTTCTTATTGGAACAAGGAGGTTAGCCTGGCCTCTGACTGATACATGGCTAGATTTACCTCGCTGCACCTTCTCTGTGAGTGACTGCAGTGTGACCTAGAGGAATGAGTCCCCTAGACAGGGGAGGAGGCAAATGAGTACAAAACAAATCTGGTCTATTTCTTGTTTTGACCCACTCCATCTATCTTTTACATCTTTGGCTGGCAGCAGACGGTGCAGAAGGACTGCATGCCATCCACATCTCATGGCTGCTCAGCAGAAGATGGTACAGTACGACTGCTAGCCATCCCCATCTCTTGCCTGCCTGGCAGAAGATGGTACAATACGACTGCTAGCAATCCTCATCTCTTGCCTGCCTGGCAGAAGATGGTACAGTACGACTGCTAGCAGTCCGTATCGCCTGCCCGCTCACCCTAAGATGGTTCAATAGGACTGACTGCAGGACTAAAGAGAATGACCTGGTCAGGTCACTCCAAATTTAGTCCCTGCGCCCATGTCTGCCCAGGCGCTCCCAGCCGACGTGGCCAGGAGCACCTCGGACACGACGAGGATGACTACCAATCGTATTGCACCGTCTGCTGCCAGAAGGCAATGGGTTGCTGCTACTGTGCAGCAAAGCCGTACCGCGTCTGCTAGCACCCAGGAGACATAGGGTGACGGTTACCTGAGCGGGCTCCATGCTTGCCGTGGTATGGCGTCTGCAGAGGTAACTCAGGAAAAAAGGCGCGAAATGATTGTCTGCCCTTGCTTTCACAGAGGGAGGGAGGGAACGGGGGCCTGACGATATGTACCCAGAACCACCCGCGACAATGTTTTAGCCCCATCAGAGTGCTCCATTGTGACTGCTCTGGACAGCACTCTCAGATGCCCGATTGTTTGCCGTTGCTCTGACGCCGGGAGGGGCACTTACAGGGTTGGCTTCAGGGAGCTAAAATCAACAAAGGGGGTGGCTTTACATCTAGGAGTATTTCAGGCAGGACTTCACGGAGGGTTCCAATAAGAAATGGTGCACCTAAGTTATTGTCCTTATTGGAACAAGGAGGTTAGCCTGGCCTCTGACTGATACATGGCTAGATTTACCTCGCTGCACCTTCTCTGTGAGTGACTGCAGTGTGACCTAGAGGAATGAGTCCCCTAGACAGGGGAGGAGGCAAATGAGTACAAAACAAATCTGGTCTATTTCTTGTTTTGATCCACTCCATCTATCTTTTACATCTTTGGCTGGCAGCAGACGGTGCAGAAGGACTGCATGCCATCCACATCTCATGGCTGCTCGGCAGAAGATGGTACAGTACGACTGCTAGCAGTCCATATCGCCTGCCTGCTCACCATAAGACGGTTCAATAGGACTGACTGCAGGCAGGACTAAAGAGAATGACCTGGTCAAGTCACTCCAAATTTAGTCCCTGCGCCCATGTCTGCCCAGGCGCTCCCGGCCGACGTGGCCAGGAGCACCTCGGACATGACGATGACGGCTACCAGTCGTACTGTACCGTCTGCTGCCACAAGGCAAGGGGTTGCTGCTACTGTGTAGCAATGCCGTACCGCGTCTGCCAGCACCCAGGAGACATAGGGTGACGGTTACCTGAGCGGGCTCCATGCTTGCCGTGGTATGGCGTCTGCACAGGTAACTCAGGAAAAAAGGCGCGAAATGATTGTCTGCCCTTGCTTTCACGGAGGGAGGGAGGGAACGGGGGCCTGACGATATGTACCCAGAACCACCCGCGACAATGTTTTAGCCCCATCAGGCATTGGGATCTCAACCCAGAATTCCAATGGACAGCGGAGACTGCGGGAACTGTGGGATAGCTACCCACAGTGCAACGCTCCAGAAGTCGACTCTAGCCTCGGTACTGTGGAAGCGCTCCGCCGAGTTAATGCACTTAATGCACTTATAGCATTTTCTGTGGGGACACACACACTCGAATATATAAAACCGATTTCTAAAAAACCGACTTCTATAAATTCGACCTTATTCCGTAGTGTAGACATACCCTTAGTGAAGTAGCTGGGTCTGTATCTAGGTGACAGACTGTTCGTGACATTTTGTCTTCAAGACCTACGGTGATAAGCAGTGACTGCAGAAATTCTAAATGTAGAAGTAAAATTTGCTGGAATTCATGTTGAGCCTGACCTAAAACTGCAACTGCAAACCAACAGGATGAGTCATGCTTTCTGTGAAAAGATGGTGGTGCTAGCACTGTGAAAGATGGCTACCCCCAGTTGCTAATAGCCATATGCAAAGCAGTTTGGTGTAAGGAAATCCAAGGTGGCCGCTGTTGTGATGAAAGTTTGCAGGGCTGTGCTGCAGGAGAGATTATTTCATCTACTAAGATCACTTTGCTCTGGAAATTACACCAGTGGTGGAAGTTAGAGTAGGCCCCTGCCAGGCCTTAGTGACTGGAGGTCAGGGAGCTGACGAGTGACCACTAGTAGAGAGTCAACATCAAGATATTTCAGGGGGGTTGTGATCAAGGTGGTAATGTGCTGAGGGCAATCACTTCTTAGAAAAATATGTTTCTCTAGTGTAGACAAGGCTTTATATAAACTTGAAAGGTTGCATATAAAGCTGACTTGTAATACATATTTCATACATCTACATGTCTTTCCTATCTGGGTCACCCTGCCTGCAAATTATATTTGACTGCTGGTTACTTTGGGCAGCTGCACTGCCCTAACATTCTGGAAATGTTCCCCCTCTTCAGAGAGGGCTGTGTTTTACAAATAGACTTTGGAAGCTTTTGACATGAGACAAGTCTGGCAGTTTTACTGGGAACTTGACCAGCATCAAATAGAATGCTTTCTATATCTTGGCATAAACAAACACTGCCCTGAGATGCTCCTGTTCAAAATGAACCCAGGGAGTTGGGGCAGAGAGCATATTTCCTTGAATCTCCTCCTACAGTGCAGTATTTGGTACTAACTCTGGCACTTCTATAAATTAATTTGTGTCTCAAATGATGGACCTAGCCCTGGGGAGCGGATCCAGCATTCATAGACAGATCCCTGCTGCTGAGACTGTCCCGTTTTTTCTGGATAAAAAACCTCAGCCACAAACGTCCTTTAAAATGATTTTTTCTCCTTTCCCCCCTCATTCTCCTTGCATAATGACTCATGGTTATTTAGAGAGGGGGAAACTCTCTCTTTTCTTAGAGCAGCTCTACACTTACAATGGTGCACCGGCAGCTGCTGCACTGCTTACGTGAAGATGCTCCTGTGCCAATGGGAGAGTATCTCCCATCAGCATTGTTAAATCACCTCCCCAAGAGGCAGTAGCTGTGTCAGTGGGAGAAGCTCTGCTGTTGACATAGCACTATCTACGTGGAGGTGGGGGTGCCTAGGTCGGAATAACTTGTGTAGCTCGGAGGTGTGGATTTTTCATACCTCTGAATGATATAGTTATATTGAGATAGGTCTGTAGTGTAGACCTAGCCTTAGTTTTTCGAGACATGGGGTTTCTTTTCCGTATCAGTGTCTTTCATTAACTTTAATGGTCCATCATTTGTCTTTTCCTGGGTTGTATAATGCTAGGTGCTTGGAGTTAGTCTCATTTGATTGCGGAGGCAGCCCCTCCCTGCCTGGCTCATTTGGCCACCTTCCTGTTATGCGGTGGAGCTTGACTATTGCAGCACAAATTATAAGCACTGTTTTATATCTACACAAATACATAAATTCGTAAACACTGGGTACATATATCATAATGACCATCAAGTTCAGAACATTACAAGCATTCATAAAAGACCTTACTTTACATATTTTTATACACAATAACATTGTATACAACCAGTTGATCAATTGCTTATTCTTTGGGGGTTCATAGGTGACCAGATAGCAAGTGTGAAAAATTGGGACAGTGAAGGGGGTAATAAGATCCTTGAGATAAAGCCCCAAATGTTGGAACATCCGGTCACCTTAGTGTCCAGACCCCCCCGTTGCCCCCTTGGTTTGTCTGGACCCTGATTGTCATAGAAGTTGCTCCATTTTACTTTTGATTCTAATGTGTTTCACTTTCTGATTCTCATGCTGTAGCACACTGGTGGTGGTTAAATTTACACACTGCGTGAGAATGGTTAAATACCTCCTCCACCACACTAAAAAGTCTTAACTTTTTTTAAATAAAAAAGCCATGAAAACATTTCTATTCACATTAACTTTTGTAAATATGGGGCTTGTAGACGGGAGATGAGATGAGGCACACAGTATCACACATGGAAAGATGCACACACCTGAGCTGAAGGAAATACATTTTTATTTAATGAGCACAGTTTGAAATCAGCACTTAAGTAAAACACTTTAGAACAGATTACAATGAGATTCTGGTGAACTCCGATCTAACTGGGACTAGAGCCAGATCAGATAATCAAAAAATCAGATAACAAAGAGCTTTCTTTACTTACCTTTCAGGATTAAGAAAGTGTGAGGCTGCAGCTCCAGTCTAGCGGCCACAGAAGAGATCAGCCACTTCCGGACCTGGAGTCAAGCTCAGGTTGCTTTCCCCACCCTCCCCATTGAGAGCATCCGATGAAGTGAGCTGTAGCTCACGAAAGCTTATGCTCAAATAAATTTGTTAGTCTCTAAGGTGCCACAAGTACTCTTTTTCTTTTTGCGAATACAGACTAACACAGCTATTACTCTGAAACCTGTCATTGAGAGCCATGTAATCTTGCAATCGTGCTCTTCAGCATTAAAGCCCTTGCTTGTTAAGTAAACACTACCATGTTTCCTGAAGGGCTACAGTGTTTCCTTTTTGCAGGAGCAGCATCTCTTGAACATACATAATTAGAAATCCAGGGCTTCTCTTTCAATCAGGTCTCTCAGAGTCAGCACCACTGGCTTTGGGTTGTTAATTTCAGGCTAACAGATGTGCTAGTTTCTTGGTTAATGGAAAAAGCCAGATAATGGAGGCTCAAATTAACGGGATTCTACTATATCTGTATATGATGTGTAGAGATCTCCATAGTGAGGATGTCTAATGATACTGGGGTTGAGAGCAGAATAAAATGAGTCACTAGACATATGGGTCTGATCCAAAGCCTGCTGAACTCAATGGCTGTCTTAACATGCATTTCAAAAGGCTTTAAATTAGAGGTCTGCTCGAGCCTAATTTTGAAGCCTGGACCTAGATCTAAACCAGACCCAAGCTCATCCAACCAAGTCATTTTCGACCCAAGCCTTCACCCTGAACCTGAGTCAGTGCCATCACCATTCCCATGCCTGCTGGTTTAGCGCAGCAGTGGGTGTGTGCATTGGCTGCTGCCGGAGGTGCTGGAACAATTTTTTATTGTGGGGGTGTTGAGAGCCATTGAACCAAATTGTAAACCCTGTATTATAATGAAAATCACTTCAAGCCAGGTGATGTGGAATCACCCGCCACACCTCTAGTTCCAGCACCTATGGCTTCTGCGAGTCCTGTGCCTGCTGGCCATTGCCCTCAGCTGTGCTGTGTGTGCTGCAGAGTGAGAGGCTCCATGACTCGTTGACACATTTCATTCTGCAGCACACACAGGCAGAAGTAGGAGAGCCGACTCGAACCCAAGAGGTTGTTTTCCAACTGAAGCCTGATACTTGTAGTTGAGCGGCAGCCCCACTGGGTTTGGATTGGGTTGCAGGTTTCTGCTTTGAATCAGGGCCATATAGCTAGATTATAAGAGATGTCAAGCGCCTGCAGCTCTCATTTAAATCCACTGGGTGCCCATCTCAAAATCAGGCCTAAATTGCCTGGAGTTCTGCCAAAGTGGGAATGGAAGATCCCACTGCTGTAGGGGTGCTTGATGTTGCACTGGAGTTCCGATACTGGTTGGTGGTGAATATGTCCTTTAAAAAATTAGCTTAATGCTTTTCCCACTTGCACCTTTTTGTGTCATGCTCCATAGATGACAATCCTCTCCATTGTCTATCAATTGCCACAGATTGATTTGCAGTGTTTCAACCTATGATTTATTTTGGTTTCTTGGGTTATTTAGTGGCTCAGGATGTGGCTTTATGTTCTGCTGCTAGATGGGTGTTCATAAGCTTCCTTGAACATGAATTGCTCTTTTCCCGCTATTTGGAAAAGGAGAAGGGGGAGGACAGAGCGAAAAAGGTCTGTCTCAAAGGCCCAGATCCACAAAGGTATTTAGGCTTCTAACTTCCATTGATTTCCATGGAAGTTAGGAGCACAAATACCTTTGTAGATCTGCACCGAAGTAATTTGTAAACATTTTGTTATTGTGTAGAAATGTGTGTTTGCTCACAATGCTTGCCTAATTGCAAGCACTATGTCAGGAAATTATCTGATGATGCCTGTGGACATTCATGTATGCACAAGAACAGGTTCAGCCAGATAAAAGCACTTTTGAACTCTGAAAGATGATAGTCACTGCTGAGATCATTGTTCAGTGGTATGATTCAATTAGTTTTTAATGAGACAGTGGAAATAAATGCCTGGCATATAAATTGGTGCAGAAACTGGATTAGTTGGTCCCTGATAGATTTTGCACAGTGACAATGGCAGAATGAGAAAGACCAAGTGAAAGCTAAGCTATTATCTCAGTGAAACGTTTGTGCAGACTCTCAGCTGTCATGTTGCTGCCTGGGCCGCTGCAGGAGAGTGAGTTTGTGTGTGTGGGGGGGGGGGGGGGTGGAGGGTGAGAAAACCTGGATTTGTGCTGGAAATGGCCCAACTTGATGATCACTTTAGATAAGCTATTACCAGCAGGACAGTGAGGTGGGAGGAGGTATTGTTTCATGATCTCTGTGTGTATATAAAGTCTGCTGCAGTTTCCACGGTATGCATCGGATGAAGTGAGCTGTAGCTCAGGAAAGCTCATGCGCAAATAAATTGGTTAGTCTCTAAGGTGCCACAAGTACTCCTTTTCTTTTTTCAAAAATAAGCTTTGCCTCATTTTTCAAAGTTTTGCTTTATGTCCTTGAAATGGACGTGGTCACCCTAGCGGCCAGCTAAGGCCTCTGCGCCAGCAGCATCAGGGACGCAGCTAAACAGAAGCCCACACACAAGGCGCTGACGGACCCGCAGCAGCACACCAGGGTGAACCTAAGGGAGAGCGGGGGAAGCGCGGCATTGCCTCCTCAGGCAGCTCCCTCCCTTCTGTGGCTGGGGAGGAGAGCGCGCCCCCTCCTGTTCAATCCACTTTAACTACCGCCAGCGGAACCTCTGCCGCGCAGCCCGAGTTGTGGGGCCCGGCCTCCGGGGGAGAGATCGGCGAGGAGCAGCGATGCGGAGTTAGGATACCAAGGGACAGGGGTCGCTCCCCGGCTGAGGCCAGGCGCGGGTTAGGTATCTGACGGGGAGGGAGCCCTTTGGAGGCTGGGCGCCGGCGGCCGACCCTTCAAGCCGTGACAGGGCTGGGCAAACACAAGCCTTCCGCAGGCTGCAGCAAGCCCCAGCCCAGGGGGCGGTACCTGGGCGGGGCCCCCGCGTGCGCAGGAAGCCGGGTGCGAGCCGGCTGGCCGGCATCAGCGTGCAGAGCCAGCAGGAGCTCCCAGCCGGCCCCATGGTGCGGCACCTGGGCAGCGGCGGTGCTGCTGCTGCTCCCCCCCGTAGGAGGACGGGAGCTGGCGCCGCCGCGGAGCGAGGAGGAGGAGGATGCGAGGGGCGCGGGGCAGCACCCCCCGTGCCAGGCGGGCGCCATGGAGGCGGCGGGCGCCCAGGAGCCCGGAGGCGGTGGCTGTAGCTGCTGCTCAGGCTCATCCCGGCCGCGCTGCAGGCTCCCGTGGGCACGGAAGACGCCCGGTGAGGAGGGAAGCCCGGCCGGCGGGGGAGGGGAGCCGTGGCCTGCCCTGCCCTGCGGCGTGGGCTCCCCGCCCCTCGGGGGGACACTGCCAGGCGGAGGAAGCGGGCACCAGGGTACATCCAACACGGTGACTGGGCGCAAGCTGTGCTCCTGGGGCCGCTCCCCTGAGGGCGCCAGGCAGATGGGGGCGCGATCCGCTGTCTCCAGGGACAGTGCGGGTCTCTGAGGGGCTGTGGGGCAGCGCGGCCGCGGTCTGCCCCCGCCTTCGCGTGGCCTAACGGCCAGCGAGCCCTGCGCGCTCAGAGCTCACTCCCCTGCCTCAACACTCGTCCGCTGGCGCGCTGGGCAGCGGCCTAACGTCGGCTTTCCACGGCGTTGGGCAACCACAACCCCCTGACACGCGGCGGGTGTGAATCAGGACACGTAGCTACCCGCGTTTGGACATTTTGCCCTCGGTCTCCTGTTCCCTTCAAGAAAGGAGTACTTGTGGCACCTTAGAGACTAACCAATTTCTTTGAGCATGAGCTTTCATGCATTCTGATGAAGTGAGCCGTAGCTCAGGAAAGCTTATGCTCAAATAAATTGGTTAGTCTCTAAGGTGCCACTAGTACGCCTGTTCTTTTTGCAAATACAGACTAACACAGCTGCTACTGTGTTCCCTTCATACTCTTTTGTTTGTCCCATTCCCCCCAGGTTAAAACCATCTTAATTCATTAAAGGTACAAGTATAGAGAAGTGAAGCCCAGATTGCTTGGACTCACCATCCTAACTATCCTTAGCACTATATAACTTCATGTTTAAAGGGCTTTAGGATCCTCTCCCAACAAGACCACACAGCATTCTGCAGAGGTACAGAAATATCACGGTCTATTTTACATACTGGGAAACAAGTGGACACAAAGCTTCAGTGACCTCTCCTGCCCAAGGCCACATGAGTGAGTGTCCAGCTCTGAGAACAGGGAAAAGAAAGCTTTAAATGACACCTGAGAAAGTCCTGAAGTTCCTGGTTCCTAGCTTAGTGGTTATTTAACAAGACTGAACTTGTCTCTGCTTTTCTTTGACCAAGCACTGAGATTGGCTTCCTAGAGCTTATCTTGTGGGGAAAACCTGTGCAGAGGGCATTTGTTCTTGGATTGTAAACTTTGTGTGCCAGTTCCGAGTAAATGAAAATGACTAAGAGATAACGGACAATGAACTTTGGCCTTGTGAGCAATATTTTCTGAACCGTACTCTGCTTATAATGAAGAAATATGAGGGAAAATCCACATACTTATGAGGCCTCCACTATGAGGCTTCATTGGTAATACAGATATTTTACTTCACTTTATTTTCTCTGATAGTCTGAGGTCATTTTTTATGTTTTATAGTTGGTTATTTTTATTAGAGCCACATGAAATTCTTGGGTTTTTTTTATATTTTTATATTTTTGTGCTTTTTCATTTTATTCATATGGGTTGGCTGGGTCCTACCCCCTGTGGGGATGGGAGATGCTGCACTACTCACCCTGCTCTGCAGATTCACCCAGTTTCTCACTGAGGGCACTGCAGTCTGCCCATGGGTCACAGTGCCACTCACTCAAATCCCCACCCTCCACCCCATCATGATTGTCAAAGGGCAGCCTGGCCAAACCTGAGTGGTGCTGCAATCCCATGCCAAGAGCAGGGAGTTGGGCCCAGCCCTGTGGGGCAGGAGCCATCAATGTGGGGAATTTTTCATTTAATTTTATACATTTTTTGTTTTTCATTTTATTTTGCAATTGTGAAAAACATGGGGCTCTAGCCATGATCCTGCAAAGACTTATGCAAGTGCTTTAACTTTAAGCATGTGAGTACTGTAGATGGATTCCTCACTGACTGAGCTGTCTTATAAACAAGGGTCCATGTCCAGAGCTTGTCTCCTGGAATTTGGGAAGCCCACACACACAAACTTATTCCTGCAGCTTTCCTGAGGTCTGCCAGATAATTCCTCTCTTGTGAGCATCCTAAGACATGAAGGTTAGGAGCTCTTCTTCTGGACTTGGAGAACATTCTTGGTCGATGTCCTTTACCTTCTCTTGCCATCTCTCAGCTGCCCACTCCATTTTGTTTTGCAAACTAAACATTTTTATTTGTATATATTTTGCAAGTATAACAATTACACATATGAAACTTAGATATGTTAAATGTAAATGCTCGTAGTTTACAAGAAGAAAACTGAGTGGGGCAGGAGTCAGGAGGTACCTGTCTAGAGCTTAAAACAAGGGGTGGAGGTTGTCTAAGGGACTGGGGAGTGGAACTGATTAGGGAACGGAACTAGGGAAACTATAAGAAGCTGCTGTAACACCTGCTCTGTTTAAATGTTTACGCATCTAGTAGCGAAAGCTCAGGTGTCATTTAAAGCTTTCTTTTCCCTGTTCTCAGAGCTTTTCGAGCTGCTAGGCAATGATATTTTTGAACTGAATGCATGTTTGTTGGAGTGGTTGAGTGTCATGGTGATAAAGGTTAATATTTGCAGACTTCCATTGAGTTGGGTAGGAATGTTGCTTTACCGTACTTTCTTCTTGGTATGTTCTTTGAAAGAAAATAAACTTGAGCAACTTTAATTCTCATGGGGAGGGAGGGTCTTATTTAATTGTATCAGTACAGTAGTAGTGTATTGAGAAGCACTGTTTTATGTCATAAATTCTTGCTTTGGTAATCTGAGATATCACTGTTTTCAGTTCTAGTGTTCTCTGATATCTTTTTATTTTTCTGACAGTCCAGTGTTAGGTCATAATGGAGGAGTACGTTTTTCAGACATGCATAGTACACTGGCTAAATTACTAAAGCTAAGAGTTCTCAGAAAATTTTCTTTTTCTTCAAATCATAAGCTTATACTAGATGTGGGAGCTCTTGCTCTTGCTTTAATTTGATTCGCTATCCACTTCAGGGTTCCCATTTTTTTGGTTGACTTCTACTATTTGTAGTAATCTAACAGGCTACCATGCAGGAAATATGAATTTGATTTTCTGTTTTTGTGCTTCCCTCCCTGGATCAGCATGGGTTTGGATCTCCTCTTTCAGCTGTAGGTCACTGAGTCTCCTTACTGTAATATCTCAGGCAATAATTTTAAAGTGTGTGTGTGTGAGAGAGAGAGAGAAAAAGAGACTGACTTACTTACACAATGGGGACAATTATATTATTCAGGGATTAAAATTTACACTAGTCTTCAATTGCTAAAAATTCTAGGCTAGTGCCAGAATAGCATAGAAGATGAGTGACAGATTTAAGGACTGCTTTCTTATGAGCTACTAGAGCTAAAACAAATGTTGCAATCAACTGGAAATGTCATTAATTTCCCACTCTAGTGTGGTGTGAGATTTTGAACCTTAAAGTGACATCATTTTGGTAATCATTTGCCTTCCCTGTTCCCACTAGCCCACTTCAATTCCAAGCTGATTTTAATGTCTGCTATCTTAAGAACTGTTAAAGCTGGACCCAATGTCATAAAACATTAGGCCAGCCTGGAATCTCATCTTTTAGATGGTATAGAGCAGTTTCTTAACCTTCGAGTCGTGATTCCAAGGAGGGTCGAAGTGGGTTGTGAACAATCTTTCTTAATTAAATATAACAAATCCCTATTTTGATTCTTGGTTGCTTGCTAGGCAACTTTCTGCTGTGTCCTGTCACGTCATTCCTTGTGCTCCGTCTGTGAGATCTGTCAGCCTCCCTGCCTCCCCCATTATCTAAGGGGAGCCATCTTTCATCACAACTAACTGCTTTAGAGAGTGGCTGTTCCATTTATTATCTTTATGTGGTGGCATACAAGTTAGGGTCACCATAAAATATTATGCTTTTTTTATATGTACAATCATTTTTCCCCTTCTAATGACATGAGAACTCCTTGCTAATATTGTACCCTTGAGATTCTAACTTTCCTTCAGTTAATGGTTTAGTGAGTAGAGTGTTCATCTTATTTTGCAAAGAGATTTTGTTTTCTCTGGAGGCATGTTGCAGGTCATCAGCAGTTCATCTTCACCCCTTTTGCCATTTTGTGAATCACTGGAGGACATAGAGGGGGACCAGGAAGAGGGAGGAAAATGTCACTGAAGGGTGCCTGAAGTATCAGGGAGCCTCAAGACCAGCAAAGAAGCAGAGTTAGGGACCTTCTTATGGGGGGGAAACTGGAAGATGGAATCAGATGAATTCAGGGATGAAACTCCTGTGTCTATAGAACTGGCAAAGATGCAAGGACTGTTTAACAAGACCATGATGATTGAACACTTGACCAAATTTAAAATTATTTTAGTTAAAAATATTTCCATTTTAGTATCTGTTACAAGAAAATATTGGTAAACCCCCAAAACTCCAGAAATCCATAGAATAGATTTAAGGGGGTTGTGTTATGATGAAATATGCATTTCTTTGTACTTGTTTATGTAAACGATGTAAGATTCATGTTATACGTAATGAATCATTTCCTTGATTTTAAGTGTTTAGGTTTTTTAGATGGTGTGATAGGTAACTGTTGTCATTTAGCAACCTTAACTGGCTTTTTAAACAAAGATTTTTGTCTTTGGAATTTTAATGAAGTAAGGTGACGTATATGCCTTAAGGTTCAGTGTTTCATGACCTGGCAGGAGCCAGTACACTTTCACAGTTATATTTTCTAAGCCTCAAACCTAGAGCAGTGGTCAGAAAGAAACCTGATGCATGTAATCCAGTGGTCCCCAAACTTTTCACATGGTGCCTCTCCCCCTTCACTCCCCCCCCACCCCGACAAGGGTTAAGGGGGCCAGGAGCAGGGCCACAGCTGGGGGCTGAAGGTGCGGGGCTGGGCTGGGGCCGGAGCTGGGAGTGGAGCTACGGCTGGGGATTGAGGTGGGGGCGGGGCTGGGAGCAGAGTCATGGTCGGGCTGGGGCTGCGCCTGGGAGCAGAGCAGGGCTGGGTGGTACTCCCCCATCCCCTTGTGGGGGCTGGCCTGGGTCTTGCCATGCCCTCCTGAATGTTCCCCCGTGCCCCCCTAGAAGGGTCTGCACCACAGTTTGGGGACCACAGATGCAATGAATTTCCCAAATTACAATCAAATATTTTGATATTAACCAAAAATGTAAACCACCTAAGCTGACAAATAAAATGTGATTTGTAAGAGTGTAATGCCATTATGTATTGAATTTCACCTCCTATACATGAGATCTAAGAAAATATTAATAAGGGGCTTGGGATGTACTTACAATGAATAAAAGTGGTACTTTTCTCTTGTTTCTTTTGCCTTCCCACCCCTTGCTGCTTCCCCCGACTCCCCATATAACTACATCGTATGGACAATCATAATTTCAAATACAACTGAAATACCTACTATTAGGTAAATTACTGTTAGTTACTAACTGGAATTTATTATCTGTTGCAGGAACAAAGAAGAAATTCACCTGCCCAGGACTTGGCTTGTTTTATACTATATTGTCTGCCTTCCTTTTCTCAGTGGCTTCTTTGTTTCTTAAAAAAATTGAAGATGTACATTCAGTGGAAATCAGTGCATTTCGATGTGTTTTCCAAATGGCATTTGTTCTTCCTGGTTTAATATACTACAAGTAGGTATTGTGTCTAAATACAAAATCTTGTGAGGTACCTAATGTTCTGTAGGTAATAATATATCCACAGCTATCATTAATGAAATTGGAAAGTAAATCTGACTGCAAGTATTATTTTAATTCAGGATTTAATTGAAGAAAAGAAATGTTTCAAGAAACATTTGTAACTTCTCACTAAATAAATAGCATTGTTTTCTTAATGACATTGAGATTCAGAAAACATCTCTGAAATATTTTGAGCCTCTGAGCAGTAGAAGAAGGGATTATTCCAAAAATACGTCACTGAAACTCTGAGATATTATCCTTAAAAATAGAAAGTCATTAGTAGGATTTCTCTTTATATTTTCTATGGAGTTATTTTGCAAGCAGTACAACAATGCCTAACTAGTACAATGGGATCTTGATTCTGATGGAGGCTTCTGGGTGTTACAGTAATCCAAAAAAAATCTCTGCAGAGAGCCAAATTAAGGTATTCTGACAGTTTCATGATAAAAAGTCCCTCATTTGAGGGTATGAATGTAGTGAAATTAAATGTTTGATTATGAATCATCAGGCTATGAGATCAATGTGATTATATCTTTGTTTTTCTTTTTAATTTTCAGAACAGGGTTTTTGGGACCAAAAGGTAAACGAGTTTTTCTTTTCTTTCGAGGATTCCTTGGCTCTGGTGCAATGATTCTTCTCTACTATGCTTTCCAAGTAATGCCTCTAGCTGATGCCACTGTTATAACTTTCAGCAGTCCAGTTTTTACATCATTGTTAGCCTGGATATTTCTCAAGGAGACATACAGCCTTTGGGATCTTCTTTTTACCCTCTTTACGATCACTGGAGTGGTTCTTATTGCAAGACCGCCTTTTCTGTTTGGATCCAATATTATAGGGATTGAAGGAAGCTATACAAATCATCTTAAAGGAACAATAGCTGCTGTCATAAGTGCAGTATCAACAGCTTCAACTTTTGTTATATTAAGAAAGATGGGAAAATCTGTGCATTATTTTTTGTCTATTTGGTATTATGCAGTAATTGGATTAATTGTATGCATTGTAGCACTGTTTGTAATAGATGAATGGACTTTACCATATTGTGGTACAGATAGATTTCTCCTAATATTAATTGGACTGTTAGGGTTGGGGGGTCAGATATTTCTCACAAAAGCATTACAGATAGAGAAGGCTGGTCCTGTTGCCATAATGAAAACCATGGATGTGGTGTTCGCTTTTATCTTACAGATTCTTTTCCTCAATCATCTGCCAACTTGGTGGACGGTGGGTGGTGCCCTTTGTGTAGTAGCCAGTAGCTCTGGAACTGCCATTCGTAAGTGGCAACAGAATTCAAAAAAGGCTAAAGAAAATGAAATCTAGCAAGTCAGACACTTTCATCACAGAAACAAAGATAACAATCATAATCTTGGGAAAATATATTTTATAGTAAGATATATTTTATTTATTTAAAATATTTCATTTATTTAACTCTCTGTTACCAAATTGTCCCCAAGAGGAGGAGTCAGCTGACTTTCAAGCAGCATAGCAGATGTTTTAACTAGCTGGTTCAGCATGTGCTACTCAGTGTCATACTGAGGAAGGCATTGGTGTATTTTCACAGATCTTGCTGTCTCTGTTTCCTGATTGCTATCTTAAACAGGCAGTAACTGTATACAGAAGTTTTTTTCTCTTTCCCACAAACTAGTGTTGTTTCTTTAAATTTTTGGGCCTGATTCTCCATTTCTTACACCTTGTATAGTCACTTACCCATCTCTAAAGTGGGAGTTAGTCTACCATTCTAAGGTAGTAGTTTGCATTCACTTACTACAGGTATAACTGAATAGAATAGGAGCAAGGCAGTGGAGTCTAATTATTTTTTCTTAACTCTACTCAAATTTTCTATTTTTAATCTTAGAAGTGCTCAGTGACATAGTTTCATGAATACACTTACTCCAAGCAGTTAGGGCCCCATTCAGCAAAAAGAAACAACAACAAAATAATACAGCTTCTGTACAACAGGCATGCAAGGCTGATACATGTGGCAGCCTCCAAAAATCTCTGCAGAAAACAGAAGCTGGATATGTAGGGATTTTTCTTAATTGGGTTCTAAATAAACATATGCTCTTTAATCTTCTGTATTATTATTTTTGAAAATTCTTTTGTTTTTCTGATTATCAAAAGAGAGCAGGGCTGATAATGCCAAAGTAAATCTGAAAACTATTTTCAGTGGCTTAACATGTAACATTATGTCAGTTAACTTTTTTAATTTAAAGTGACTTTCCCAATAGACCACGTCACATTGATTTACTACTTCTTTAGTTGCTACAATTTCAGTGATTAAAGAAAATGGTTGTTAATATAGCCCTTTGTGAGTAGACCATTTCTTACGCTACAAAATGTTATGCTGTGTTGCACTATCCTTAATTCTATGCAAAAAATATTTTATTTGTATTTTTTTAGGTATTTAATTTAGATTACTCAAAATGCTGTTCAGCAATTTTGTTTAATACTTTGTGTAAAGTATTTTTGTGGAAAAAAAAGTTGCACTTTTCTTGGCTGCAGTTATGTTTAATGTTTTATTGTAAAACCTCCCTTTTCTTCTTGTCACTAGCTAATGAAAGGTATTTAGAGATTCCACAAACAGCACTGGTTAGCCAGCGTCATAGTGGAGAATGTACAAAATGTACCCTGCACTCCTCACATGTCATTTTTAATGTTTGAAAACTATGTTTTGATAGCAATGACTACGGTAATATTACAATATAGAGTCCAGTTTCCCAGTTTTATGGGCAGGAAAAGAAGTTCACTATAATACATAGTGGTTTCCCAGAATGGATTGTGATGTACTGGTGGGTCTCAGTCCAATTGAGTTTTAAGATTAATTTAATTTTTACTTTGCTGAGACCCTTTACACTGTTCCCTGTGAAGTTTTTCAGGCAATTACATTGTTTCCTCTTCTTTCCTGAAAGAGGAAGATCTTTTATAGTCGTAACCCAAGAATACATCCTGTGTGTGGAAACTGACATAAAATAATGGATATAGTCTTATCTTGTACCATCACTTTCATGAGATAAATTGTTAAAACTGTTGCACTCCACTCTGCGGTGGTTTGGGTGAAGTGATTCCTGCATGTATAACACTAGTAAAGTGCTTTAGGATGCTTCTAGAAGAAATGAGCCATATTTGTGTAAGATTGCCTCAGAATATATGCTGTGGGTTTGAGGCTGCTTTTGTTGATGTCAAGGTCAAAACTCTAGGGAAAGGAATTAAGGAAACTTAATAAAAAATATGAAAATATAACAATGATCCAGTTTCAACAATACAGAGTCATAAGTATTATGGAGGGTTGTCTTTTTTAGAAATTATGTTGAAAATGTTTGAATCATACATTGTCCCTGAATTATTATAAATTGATGCATATGATTTAGTAGCCTGAATTACTGAAGAGAGGTTTTGTTGTCTTATTATATATGAATATTTACTTAAGTATAGAAAATATGCAGGTCTGAAATAGACAGTTTATTGGTTTAGTAACTTTGGAACAAATCTTTTTCTCAAGTTTTCTTCTTCAAATCTTCACCTTAAGTGTAATTTACTGTCTATGGTAAATGAGATATAGCAAGTCAGTCTTAAAACTGAAATTTTTATTAATCCTTTTTAAAACAAACATCTGTTAGCAAACTGGCAAAGTAATTTTTTTTGTCCAAAACTGTGATTTCTTTGGGGTTCTCCATGACTGTTCACACTCATTATTCCCAAACTTTCTTACAATATTGCGTGTATAGAAAGAAGGAAAACAATAAACCTGGTTTTGTGGTCTGTTTGAACTACAAATTTTTTGTTGTCCCAGATGTTTTAGGGCCTGATGATGCAAGGTGTTGAATATCTGGGTACCTGCATCTTCCAATGAAATCAGTGGGAGTTGCAGGCATTCACTATCTTGCAAGATACGGCTTATATTGTGTTACTTTCTTTATAAATTGAGTTAAGCAAATTTCTTTTATAACACTTTTTGCTCTTTAAAAAGGGCAATGCCTTCATTTGGATTTAAAAAACTTTTTAGATGATGGTTGCTCAAACAATATGGAGAGGAAGACCTTGAGTATAGTGATATACAGCAGTGCTGATATATTTATTTGTTCTGTTTATAAAGCATGATTTTAGGCATCTACAACTTGTCTTTCCAGATTCATTTTTAGTAGTGTAAATCATTTTAAGTATTGTATGGTTTTTGAAGCACCTCAAAAATTTTTGAAACCAATTTCAGATGCTTTCTTAAACTATAGCTAAAAAGTTAAATTTGGACAGTTTTGAAGAAAATAGTTATGAAATGGCTAAAATAACTGCCTTAAAATGCAGTAGCTGGTGAAAATGCTTCTCTTTTAATAAGTTATACTGGGCATTCAAATATCTGCTTTTCAGGAGCTTACACTGCAGATTTTAAAACTATATCAGATTGAAATTGAGTTGTCAGGTAACTTTTCTGGCCCAAGTCTTTTTTTTTTTTTTTTTTTTTTTCCTTTCCCCTCCCCTCTCTACCCCCCACCCCAAGAAAATAATCTTATTCTGGAAAGGCATTTTTGAATTATAGAGCAACAAATTTCTCAGGATTTCAGGTGCTATTTTTCCAACCTCTAAATCAGAAACATGGCATTAATGTTTAACATCTTTTAGTGTCTTTTAAACCATTTTTATGAAATTGGACAAATGTACTGTATTTCTTAGGAATTTTTTTCTATGGAATATTATGCACTATTACTGCATACAATTTTTATTATAAAAAGGTCTATTAAAATCAATGGGACACTTGTAACCACTGATTTCAGTAGCTCCTAAATAAAAAAACATTATAAATGTTGTCCTGCACAAAAATGCAGGGTCAAAAGACTAAATTTTTACTGGTGCATTGACTGTAACATATGCTATTTTAGTAGGCAAAAATCCAGTGAAATCAGCTGCCATGACTTCAGTGGGACTTTACAACCTTAGAGCCTTATTTGCCTGAATTATACTCCAGGCTTGTGGCCCAAAAGTCTTCATATGGCGACTGTACAGCAGGTCAACATGTCCAGGGTTTATTTGGTTCTGAAAAGCCCTAAAGAAAATCCAACTTCTGCACCAGGGATTTAAGAATGTGCATGGGGGAGAAACAGGATATATATGTAACTGAAATCCCCACATACTAAATTACCTGTCCAGCATCTGGTTCTCTTTCCTCCTATTATCCTGGTGCTGCACAGACTTTGGGAGTTACTGCACCAATAGCGTTTGAGTAACCCCTAGTATAGCACCATTGGTGAGTGGTGTGGGTCCAAGCCAATTGTGCTTTTTGCTGTCAAACCTTAAATTGGAATTATGTTTTCCCACTTCCAAATGCTCAAATGTTGTTCTCCAATAGATAGAAGCTTCTTCCTCTGATTGCATGTTGTGAAGAGATGGGCCTTACCACTCTTGATCACCATTTGGAGGGAAGAAATCTCTTGTTGAGCTTCATTCAGGAGCTGTCTTCTAGGGAAATGTTAATTTCTAACTAGTCAGTCTCTTCAAAATTTCTCCCTTTGCTGACTGGCATTTAGTCAGCCGGGAGAATCTGTTTCCCAGCTCCAGGTTTGGGACTCCACTATTCAGCATCGGTCCCATAAGCAGAATTGGATGCAATTATGGACTCTAGTAGGTGGCAGGGTTGCCAATGTTGGCAGCAAGAGCGCAACATTGATTATTTTGGGCATTACATAGCTGCTATCAAGAGAGTTCAGTCTCTTGACCGTCAGCATGTCCAAAGAGGAGTGTGGTGCCTCTGTGAGCCTGCAGCTGGGGAGGGGATTCTGGGGTTGGATATACCTCAGTATACAGGCCATATTGTATTGTCACTCATACAGTTTATTAGAGTGGGTAATTTTATATACTACGTGAGGTACAGTTTCACAAAAAATGGGGTAAAAATCAGATACCTCTAGCACTAATTGAAGAGTCTCTATCTATTACGTAGTTAAATGTATGTGAAAGCGTATGTTTTGTAGAAGTTACTGTTTTTTGGTATCTACTGGTATATTTTTGAAAGATTATTTTAATTCCTATATCTTGAAATGTTAACATTTTCATAAAAGGTTTATATTTCATAACTTAATAAAATGAATAAGAAGAATAAGCAAGTTTTGGTTTTCATTTGGTTAATAGAACAATTCTAAACATAATCTTTAACAAAGAACAGCTGATCAACCAGAGTCTGTGGACCTAATTTTTAAAGGTGTTGAGCACCTACATCTCCAGTTGAAATCAATGGAAACTGAGTTCTCAGCATTTGTGAAAATCAAATCTAATTTTTCTGCTTCTGATTTTCTTTTTAAATTTTGTGAATCAGGGCCTGATTACACTGAGTCCCTTGTAGTCCTAATCCATGCTTCACCTATTCTAAGAAACTGGTGGACAAATATTGGCTAAGCTTCCATAATTAATTGCGCCAATACATAAAACAACTTGCATGCAGCAACCTGACTATAGGTTCCTGTGTGCTACCTGTGCATCTATACACAGATACCCATTGCTGAAGTCTGTAGCAGCACTGCTGCAGACTTTTTTTTATACTGTGGAACCAACTCACTGAGCAGTGTATACAAATATTACACCAACTGTTAAAAGAACATTAAGATTAAGTCAACTACTCAAAATTTAGGAAATGCTAGAATTAAGGTTTTCTGTGAAAACTTTGATCTTGGCATTTCCTAACTTTTGAGTGTTTAATCAGGTCATCCTGTGGTATGTATTATAATACAGTCTGTAATTACATAATCACAACTATTTTTCCCCTCACAGGATCTTAGCTTCATCTAGTACACAGGACCAATGGTACTGAATTAACGGGCAGCTGTTCAATATGTGACTTTAGGCCTTATCTACTGCACAATGTTCAAATCCTGCTCTGAAGGCAGAATTTTTAATTTCTGCCTGGGTTTTTCTATGGTGCTCATCATTGTAGTATTCAAGTACTTCACAAACATGAATGAATTATCTTCACAATGCTGCTGTGAGTTCAGGGGATACTATTGTCCTCATTTTACAGATGAGGAGCTGAGGCACAGATTTAAAGTCAAATGGATCAACTAATTTTGGGTGCCCAGTTTCAGATGACTAGAACCTGATTTTCAAAGTAATTAGCATTATGTAGCACTCTGTGTTCAGTTAGAGCTCCCATTGACTTCAATTGTAGCTGTGAGTGCAATTTAGACCCCAGAGTCGCAAGTCAAGCACTCAGAAAATGAGGAACACACAATTAGGGCAGGTCTACACAATTAGGGCAGGGATCAACACTCTGAGATTGATCCACCAGCCATCAATTTAGCTGGTCTAGTGAAGACCTGCCAAATCAAGTGCAGATCACTCTCCAGTCGACCCTTGTACTCTACCCTCAAAGAGAAGAGTAAGATAAGACACACACACACTCCGCAGTGTAGGCCCCACGGTAACTCGACCTAAGGTATGTTGACTCCAGCTACATTATTCACGTAGCTGGAGTTGTGTAGCGTAGGTAGTCTTACCGTGGTAGTGTAGACAGCCTAAATGACCACCTGTAAAAAATGTTGTTTAAGTGCTGTGCCCAGCATCACATAGGAACTTTGTGACAGAGGCAGGGATATCAGTGCTCCAGAGCAGCATTTAAGTGTCTTAACCATGAGAGCATCCTTTCTCTTCCAGCAGTCCCTTGCTTCATTCACTTTCCAGCTTCTGCAACAAATGAGGCAGTGCTCCTACAGACAACAGCCTCCTTCATGACACAACCCTGACTCATCCCCAGAGTGAGTCTATTATGTACTGGGAGACAGAAGTGATACGGAAAAAATGTGATCATAACATACACACAAGGGGAAAAATTAAGGTTAAGATCCAGGGTAAAACATTTTAAGTTATGTTAGCTGGCCATGTTTTTGTGCAGGCTTCCCCCAGGCTAAAACACAGACAGGTAACATGACTTCAGACATGTTAGCCTTCATTTAAACACGATTTAAAGCCCTGTTAAAATTAACCCTTGAATTGAAAAACACCCTTTTTGCCTGTTAAAATGTTGGTGAGGCCTACAGATATCCGTGCCTAACACAAGCAATATACTTGGGTTATATTTACCTTCGCACCACATCAACCTTCGTAATCTACCCATTATGAAGTTCATCCTGTTTTGTTAAAAATAGCACTTAATATGGTCAGTAAAGTTTAGAACAACTTTTAAAGTGGGGAAAGGAAGTAACTTGCCATGGTAGAGTAGCTCTGCTGGCAATTGATATAATGGAAACTTTACAGATTTAGGTTGAAGTTATTTCTCATAAGAACACCATCTTTAAAATGAATACATTTAAATAACTAGATGTTTATAATTATAGTACTAGTTTTCTCTCAATCGGAATTTTACATCTGACCTAATCTGAGGAAGGGCTGAGCCAGTTCAGGCAAAATAGAAACACTCCTGATGCTTTATCGGTATCCTGGATCAACCTAGAAACCACTTAATATTTTGTGATCCAAGTGTCCCTTTCCATTTCTTATCTCCATGGAAAATTTGGAAGACAGGCCACAGTGTTCAAATGCCAGCCTTGTCCAATACCACACAAAAGCTACATGAATTTTATTCAGATATAACCCCTGAACATGTTAATTTCAGTATAGTGCTCCTGGATCGTGTTTAAAATTGCAGAATTGCACATTAGGCTCGTCTTCACTAGAGCAGTTTAGTGTTAGTCATTTACAGTTTCCCAGAATGCTGATAATACATATCACATGCTTAACACAGTGCACAAAAGTTCACACAATGTTATGCACTTGCTTTGAGCAAGGCTAGGCTGTGTTACATCCATTGCTATATATACCATTGCAGTGATAGCATTGTAGCAGATGCAATAATGCAATTAGCTCTCCCATAATGATTCAGCACACCCCTCGCTGGCTGTATGCATGGCTGAGAGCAGCCAATGTGGTACTCAATTGGTCTTAGCAGTGGCCACCACCTGGTACCTTCAGCCAAGCTGCCAATAAAATAAATAAAGCCCCACCTACCTTGTCTCTCTAATAAATTCTTTAATTCTTAAACTGAAAAAATTGCATCCACTTTTTAATCAAAAATCATTTTTATACGTTTTTCCATTTGTTTATTTTTTGCAACATTTAAGAAAATATTTTATTGTAAAATGTTTATTTTTAATCTATATATTGTTTAACGTAAACTTTTATAACAGCATTCTTTTCTTTTTTCCCATTGTTTCTCCTGCAATGTGTTTTGCTTTTGTAGGTCCATCAATGGCTATTAGCCAGGATGGGCAGGGATGGTGTCCCTAGCCTCTGTTTGCCAGAAGCTGGGAATGGGCGATGGGATGGATCACTTGATGATGACCTGTTCTGTTCATTCCCTCTGGGGCACCTGGCATTGGCCACTGTCGGAAGACAAGATACTGGGCTAGACAGACCTGTGGTCTGACCCAGTATGGCCGTTCTTATGTTCTTAAAGAAGGTTACAAAATGACCACTGCCTGAGCCTGTGCTTGAGAGAGTCTTGCTTGTAATGTATGTCCCTGCCTGGCTGAAGCCTTGCTTGGCAGCTATCGAGAAGCATTTCCTGAACTCTGGAAATATTAAAAGAGAAAACAAAGAGAAAAGGTTCATTATATAACAGGAAATTATTAATAGTATCAGTTTAGCTACCCAATATTTGCTCCTCCTTCCCCCTCCTCCCAAAAAAATAACTTAGCATATAGTGTCTTGTTTCCTCCCATTCTCTGAGCATGCAGCATAACCCCTATAGTGACCACTGTCACAGATATGGCAGGAGGGAACTAATTCTAGGTTGAGGAGTCCTGTGGATAATCCTGCTTACCCTTGAACCTGGCTTTTGGGGAGACCCTTTTCTGGATCCTATGGAGAAAATATCAAGAAAAAGGGAAGCTACTTACAAACTCCAGTTACAAGGTATGGTCTCTATCTGTATTCCACTGTGGCTATGCATGCTCTCCATGCACCTGAGAGTTGAAAATTCTTGCAAGCAGTATCTTTTGGTCAGCGCCTGCACCCTTTGCTCTCCTCATACTCCATACCAAGGGTATAATGGGCAGGGTGCATTGACCACCTCTACAATTCCTTCACTATTGCGAATCTAGTCATGATCCAAAGCAGAGGGGAAGGACTGTGGGTAGTGGAGTACAATAGGAATCACACATCTTGAAGAACTCCAGTTACAAGGTAAAAAAAACTTCCCTTTCTTCTTTGAGTTCTGGTCCCTACGTGTATTCCACTATGGGTCATTAGCAGTACTCAGAGAAGAGGTGGGTGCAAGGATGCAGGTGTTATAGCTCCTTGTAGAACTGCTGCCACAAAGGACGTGTCAGCAGAGGAGTGTTGGACCAAGGCATAATGTCTTGACTGTCTGAATGGAACTCCACATAGCTGCCCTGCAAATGTTTGTCATTGGGGCCCCTTGTGCACTTGTAGAGTGAGCCCTTACCCCATCTCGGGGAGGGAGCTGTGCCAACTGTGATAGAGTAGGATACAGTGAGAGATCCACTTGGAGATCTTCTGATAGGATATAGCTTGATCTCTGACTCATTCTGTTATGGCAACGATCTAGATGACTTACTGATCAGTTTTGCTCAGGTCAATGCTCCTCTTATGTTGAGGGAATGAAGTCTCCTTTCCTTGCCAGAGGCATAGGGCTTTGGAAAAAATGCAGGTAAGTGAATTGACTGGTTTATTTGAAATTCACTCCTAAGTTAGTTTCAGGTCATAGTAAGACTTTGTCCTTATGGAATATTGTGTATGATGGATCAGTCGTTAGTGCCTCGAGTTCACCTACCCTTCTGGCTGAATTTGGGATACAGTTTACTTGGGCTTTCTGTTTAATTAGATGATCTATGAATGTATGTTGTATTCGTGTAGATCTGACATTTTAACAAACCCTATAAAACAGTATGGGGCTATGTCTGCATTGCACACTAAACCTGGGCTCTGACTCAAGTTTACATCCAAGTCCCTCTTCTATCCACACACAAATCAGTCTGACTCAGGACCCTGATAGAGAGGTGCATCAGAACCCAAATTGTGCTATCTCTTGGGTCTAAGCCAGGGGAGGGCAAACTATGGCCCATGGGCCAGATCCAGCTC